CGCTGCGCACGGGGGGCTGTGGGGTCCCTTCTCATGACTTGGTGCTGGAGGAACGTATGCGCTCTCTCCTGCGGACAGCGGCTGGCGGGACGTCTGGAGGTGAGTTTCACCCAACGGAACGCGACTTTACATTCTATTCCAGTCCTCATGATAGTTTTTGTAGAATTGATCATATATTTATGCAGGTTCAGCAGCTTCCCTTGGTCAGCGCGGACAGGTCTAAAACTCATTCCCTCCTCGCCTTGGTCGGATCATCGAACGATCCCTTGGTACTTCTGCCTTGCCCTCTGTGGTTCTGGTCCAGGCAGAACGGCGCCCATTTCATTGGCGCATCAATGATTCTTTATTGACCACTCAGGCTATCCTGCCAACAAATAGAATTTTTTTTACGAACACTACTTCACGGAAAACTCGCGTGATCGGGGGACTCGGTCTCCTCGGCAGTGCCCCTATGGGAGGCGCATAAGGCCACGGTGAGCACAGGCGGTCATGTTATACAGCTGATGAGGCGGTCCCCGGAAGCGATGGAGCGGGAGCGCCCGACTTTTGGAGCTTCATTCTCCTCCTGGCCTCTGCGGATGCGCGTTGGAAGTCCTCTCCATCTGCGGCTACCATAAACGCGCTCTCGGACGCTCTGGCGGCAGAGGTATAGACCTACTGCCTCTTCAGGCGGAAACGGGCCCTTTGCGTTGGAACCCAAACACAAATTTTATTCCTGTGCCTAATAAGCCAATGCCCGATGCTGGCCAGGAAACTCAATTCTGTGGGGAAACCCCATATAAACCGATTCGACTGCGACTTCCTACAGGTGGCTGTACTTCTAATCCCCAGCAGATTGTTTCCCGTTTCTCAGACTTCCTTGCACGCCTCTACGCTAAACCAGATCCCTCCCCGTGGCTCAAGCAGAGGCATTCTTTCAAGATCTCCGACTTCCTGGGTTATCCGAGGCAGCACAGGTGGCACTCAACGCCGGTGATTCACTGTACCAGAAGTGCTCCAAGCTATCAAATCTTTACGGTCCACCGCGGCCCCACCCCAGGTCCCGACGGCTTTTCCCGAGGTCTTTAGTATAAGAAATTCTCAGCCTTAGTTGGCGCCCTTTTTGGCTGAGTATTTTAATGCGTTACGACAGGGCTCCTCGCCCTCTCCCCAATGCGCTTAGAGCGCATATCGCCATGATTCCTAAGACAACCGATGATGTACAGGAACCGCAAGCCTTCCGGCCTATTTTCACTTCTTAATGAAGACCTGAAGATATTGGGCAAGATCCTTAGTTTACGCATTAATAATTATTTGCGTAGCCTGGTCCACAGGGACCAGGTAGGGTATCGTCCCCCGGGAGGCAAGCGGGTGATAACGTTTCGTAAGGTGGTCCATCTGATACATTTTCTGCAACAGCGGAAAATCCCGGGAAATTTTTTACTGTCTTTAGACATATATAAAAGCCTTTGATTCTCTATCCTGGGAATGATATCTGCGGTTTGTGCTGTCTCGTTGGGGTTTTTGGGGATTCTATTCTTTCTTGGATTCAGGCCTTGTAATTCTTCTCTCCTTCGGCCTCCGTCAAATACGACTGGGTATTTTTTCAGATCCCCCTTTCCTATTGGGCGAGGGACGAGACAGGGTTTGCCCCCTGTCCCCAGCGCTCTTTGTCCTGGTGCTTGAGCCGTTGGCTTTGGCGCTTCGGGACCGATTGCAATGTATCGGGGGGTTCCTTACGCGGGACAGGAATTCAAACTGAAACCTTTTATTTTGCGGATGATGCCCTCCTGACTCTTTACTAACCCCCCTGACGACGCTTCCTAATTTTGCAACAGGTTCTTGAGCGCTTCTCCTGATTTCGGGTCTCCGTATCAACTTGGATAAGACTGTCGCCCTCAATATTACTTTGGCTTCAGATTTGGTTTCGCGCCTACAATCCCACTTCCTTACAAAATGGGCTTCCTCTTCTCTTGAATACTTAGGCATTCGCTTGACTTTGACCCCCACTTATGACTCCTTGTTTGCTGCGAATTACTATATCCATTGCTTAGCTCTCTATCCTCTCTTATGCATTCTTGGCAATTTCCGCACCTGTCTTGGATAGGACGGGTTAATTCGGTGAAAATGACCATCTTGCCGAAATTGTTGTATTATTTTCGCACACTCCCGGTGCGGGTTCCCCCTCATTTTCTTCGGTTTGCTTCAGGCGAAGTTAATGCGTTTTATCTGGGCCAATAAAAGCACCCCAGAGTATCCAAAAGTACGCTTTTTGCCCATAGACTTCAGGGTGGTCTTGGGGTGCCTAATGTGACAAAGTATTATCAAGCGAGCCAGATTGCCCCGCTGTCTATGTTGCACGCCTCTTCCGACGTCCCCCTCTGGGTCCTGTTGGAACTACCTAATTGTGCCCCTATTGCACTGTCGACGCTTCTATGGCTTCCCCCTGCCCTGCGCCCTATGGCACTGAGTCCGATGTTACTTCATGGCCTACAAGTTTGGGACTCGGTGCGTTACTCTGGTGGTCTGATGTCACCTTTTCTGCCTTTGCTCCCAATTATTAACAACCCTCTTTTCCCGCCGGGTTTGATCACCCAGGGGCGTTTACTTGGTGGGTGACTAATGGTTTTTTCGCAGGTGCGACACTTTTTGATTTTTCGGTCCTTTCCCACCTGGGACTCTCTTCGGGAATCCCGGAATATCCCCCCGGCGGAAATTTTTTTTCGATATCTTCAATTGCGACACTGGCTGCTCTCGCTGCGGGGTACTTCTGCGTTCCCGTACCAGAAATCTGCCTTTGAACAGCTCTGCCAACTGCGTCCGGGCGCTCCGGGCCTTATATCCCTTCTTTATGCAGCTCTGAACAGACGCTCGTCGCATACTTCTCTTTCATATGTTGTTCAGTGGGAGCGCGACCTGGGAGTGGCTGTGGATCCGGAGGACTGGAAATAAGGCCTGGTCACTCATAGCTAAATGCTCATTTAATACGACCACACTGGAGGCAGCCTATAAGGTATTGTTTCGTTGGTACTGGGTTCCGGCTCGGCTGGCCCGGGCTAACCCTGCCTGTAGTGATCAATGTTTTCGGGGTTGTGGTCATCGTGGTGATGTATTACATATCTGGTGGTCATGCCCGAGACTGTTTCGTTTTTGGTCTCGTGTATTTGGCCTCCTTTTCACCTTGTTCCATCTCTCCATACGCCGGGATGCTCGGTATGCCTTGCTTCATTGCCCCATACCGGGCCTCTTAGCTCACCAGCAGAAGTTGGCTTCCTATCTGTTTTTATCCGCCACTAGGACAATTGCTCAGGCCTGGAAGAGTCCATTTGTCCCTCTTCAGGGGGTGCGGGATCGTATGACCACTATGATGCTCAACGAACAGATGTCGAGTATCCGCAACGACTCCCAAAAGTAAATTTTTGAAAATATGGGAGCCGTGGTTGCAATATGCCCTTCCCTCACTCCCCCCGGCTAGTCTGGGGATGTAATGCCGTTCGGTATTGGCGCTCTTGAATCCCTGCTCTTTGCCCCCCACCCCTTTTTTTTTTTTTTTTTTTTTTTTTTTCTTTCTTCTCTTTTCTTTTTTCTCTCTCTCTCTCTGTTTTTGGTGTGACTGGACAGCTGCATTTAATTGTTATAATCAGTTACATTACTGTTTTGTACCTTATGTGCCACTGATAGCCCCTGCGTGGGCGTACCTTTTGCCCTGTTGGCATTAGAGCATTGTTTTTTTCTTTTTTTTTTTATTTTGCATTTTGTTTATCTGTGCAATTGATAGCCCCTGCGTGGGCGTGTTTTATTGCCTCTGTTTATACTGTTTAAAAAAATTTAATAAAGACCATTAAAATAGAAAGAGGCCTATAGAGGGATATGCTTTGTTCATATTTCATGTCAGAGGTTTACAACTACTTTATGCATCTTCCCTCCCATACTGACAGGTTAACCCCTTCAGCCTCCATGGTGCAGCCACCACTGAAGGAAGCAAAGTCCCACATACAGATACAATACAAAAATTGATAACATGCAGTGCGTACCTCCTAGCCCCAAAAAGGACAGCAAATAAGGGCGAGCGATTTTCCCTGGGGCACTGCTTGAGGGGGAGGAGCCAGAAGCGCCAGCGGGGAGCCAAAAAGAAGAGGATTGGGGCTGCTCTGTGCAAAACCACTGCAGAGCAGGTAAGTATAGACATGTTTGTTATTAAAAAAAAAACAAAAAATAAGCTTTAGTGTCACTTTAAGTTAATGTGCTCATTTGGGCTGGTCTGAGGCCTAAAGATGAAGTGTTTGGACCTGACAGGATGTTCAAATGGAAGATTTGGGACCTTACCTGAAGGAGCAGAAATTACCCGCTTCAATGTTTATTGTGTGATTTATGTTACTTTCTCCTGACCAGGATTTTGTTGCTTCAACACTTAAATTGGTTGTAATGGCTGAATGTTTTTTACCTTCATGCATGAAGGTAAAAAACCTGGGTGCAGCAGTGCCCCCAGCCTCAATACTTACCTGAGCCTCATCGTGACCCAACAATGTGAATGACAGCCTCGGGTCTCTGCCTCCTCATTGGCTGAGACAGCAAGGAGCCACTGGCTCCCGCTGCTGTCAATCACAGCCAGTCAACCAATGAGAGAGGGGGGGCAAGGCCAAGCCGCTGTTCCATATTTGAATGGACACGGAGCAGAGTGTGCCCCCATAGCAAGGTGCTTGCTGTGGGGGCACCTGACAGACAGAAGGAGCCTGCAGGGGACCTGAGGAGGATCCAGGCTGCTCTGTGCAAAACCACTACACACAGCAGGTAAGATCGCTTTAATGATTAATAAGTAAAACAGTAGTTGTACAAGGACTACAGCAACTGTATGCAGTGCGTTGACTCAGACTCTATTTGACCATATCCCTTTAAACCGGCATATAGTCCAATGATGGGCGCAAGGTGGTTCTCTCGTTCTGGGAGGACGTCATATGACGTTCTCCCATTTCTCACCACGCATGCACGGTTCCAGGAGCGCGCAGCGCGGCGATCGGCGGTGTGCTGTGTCCCTCGGACACGCGGATCACCGATCCATGGAAAGAGCTGGCCATGTGATCAGCTGTGTCCAATCACAGCTGATCACATGTAAACAGGAAATGCCGGTTATCTGCATTTCTCTCCTCTCGAGCTGTCACGCTGAACCGGCTTTCCGCGGAGGGGACATGTACACTGATCAGGGCACTGATGACCAGTGTGCCCTGATGATCAGTGTGGCCCCAGAAGTGCCACCTGTCAGTGTCCATCAGTGCCAGCTGTCAGTGCTGAACAGTGCCTATCAGTGCACACATCAATGCCACATATCAGTGCCTACCAGTGCACATCAATGCCACATATCAGTGCCCATCTGAGCTGCCTTTCAGTGTCACCCATCAGTGCCAGTCAGTGCCACCTATCAATGCCAATCAGTGCCACCTATCAGTGCCAGTCAGTGCCGCCTATTAGTGCCAGTAAGTGCCGCCTAACAGTGCCAGTCAGTGCCACCTATCAATGCCATATATCAGTGCTGCCTTTCAGTGCTCAGTGATACCTGTCAATGCCCATCAGTGCCACCTACCAGTGCCTCCTCATCAGTGCCCATTAGTGCCACCTATCAGTGTCCATCAGTGCAGCCTATCAGTGCCCATCAGTGCAGCCTATCAGTGCCCATCACTGCAGCCTTATTAGCACACATCAGTGAAGGAGAAAAATCACTTATTTACAAAATTAAGCAAAAACAGGATGTTGGTGGAATGGAACTGGAAGATTCATTAATAAAACAGGTGCATTAAAATGACTGTTAACAGCAAAATGCACAATCATTAAGAAGAACGCACATAAGACTGTTCAGTGCATTATTTATAAGACAATCTCCCCCCAGAGCCATTACCTTAAAAATGTTTTTATCTGAAACAAAGACTTTACAATAAAAATAATACTTTTAAAAAGAAAATTCTAATCCAAAGCAGGGGTGTGGAAATTTTTTCTAAAAACTACATGTCCAAGGACTAAATCAGGGTCCCAATCTACTTGTCCCTCATGAGGTGCCCCAATCTACTTGTCCCTCATGGTCTGAGGTGCTCTTATCAATGTCTAGGGATTTTAAAAACTAAAAGGGGCTTTATGGCGACTTAAACTTTTAATGTTTTTAACATCGCACTGTTTATCTCCTACTCGCCTCTCTGCCTGTCTCCAGCACCGCACCTGGGGACTAGCAGGGAGGGGAGAGACCTTGCAGTGTGGCAAGCACCGACTGGATGCTCATCAGGAGAGGGGATCTTAATGCTAAGATCTCAGTGTATCTGCTGAGCAAATAAATAAGGTGCCCTAAAACGGGTGGAACATGTAACATATCCCCGAAGGTGAACTTATCCTTTATCCCTTTAGTTGCCAGAGCCCTTTTTGCATTTTGTGCACACATATAAACAATCATTTTAGGTCTACAGGTTACATAATCCCCCCAAAACATTATATATTTTCTGACAGACACCCCAGAGAGCAAAATAGTGGTAATTCAAGTTTTGTTTCGTCACGATATTACCGCAAAAGTCTAGGAAATACAAAATTTCAATAAAAAGCACACTTAAGTTCATTTTAGGGCACAAAAAGCCAATAAATTGCCCATTGCTTTGCTACTAAATTATAAGAGATGAGGTTGTACCGAGTAAATAGATACCCAACATGTCAATTCTTAATTTGCGTGTGCTCATTAAATGCGAGAAACTTTAGTACCCTATATCTGCTGTGGCAGATATACCTGATGTGGTACACTGATCACCATTGGCCCTCCTCTCTCAAACATCCCACATGATATCACAAATAAGCACTTTGGATGGACTGGAGAGAAGGACGGGCATCAGCACACTACAGTCTGGTGGAAAAGAGAAAAGAGACTTGTCCATGCAGAGTCAACCAGACCACAAATCCAAGGTTCACAGCACCAATGTCCAAGCTAACAGAGTATCCTAGGTGACACAGGCATTCTCTGCCCTGCAATTGTATGTATCAAGGGATGTGCCGCAGAGAATGCCTCCATAGCCTAGAATGTACTTTAACTGTTTCCCAGCTGAATAGCTTAGGCGATGAACATGCCTGAGCTGTTTCTTTTCCACACTGCTCTGCCGCTAAAACTTAAGGGAGGGGAAGGCAGGTACTTGATCACGTTCTACCTGTCACCTACCCACAGTCGGGTAGATTGCAATCGACAGGTTGCTGACTCCCACTCTAAATCCTGGAGCAATCAGATTAAAATCAGATTAAAAATGATGCACAGGCAACTTTCATTTTCAGAAGTGGAAGTCAGCAATGACAGCTTAGATACTCCTCCAATACAGGCTTCTATTCGCACAGCTGTTGGAAAAGCTTCAAGTATATCTAAAGTCACAACATTCTGAAGAGTAGGGGAAAGTTAAAACTACTGTCATTTGTTTTTTGCCATCTTTATGCCATTCTGCCATACCAGGGAATGTTTGATAATCAATAAATCTGGGAATGGGGGTGAGAACAAGGGTTGGGTAGAGGGCATGACTAAACATAATAAATGGTTGCGGCATGCACCAAAATAGTGCTAATGTTTGTGCCACACCTCAGCAACTTGAAGAGATTAATAGCAGTGTAAAATGTGGGGCTAACAATAACAAAGGAAGAAATGAGTGGTGTCATTGTAGGAAAAAATCTCCCTTCATCAGTGATGTCACTGTAAGAAAAAAATGTCCCTTTATCAGTGGTGTCCCTGTAATGTAAAAATATCCCTGCATCAGTGGTGTTACTGTAGGGAAAAAAATGTTCCTGCATCAGTGATGTCATTGGAGAGAAAAAAATGTCCCTGCATTCGTGAAGTCACTGGAAAGATAAAATGTCCCCTCATCAGTGGTAATACTGGAAGGAAAAAATGTCCCTGCATCAGTGGTGTCACTGGAAGAACAAAAAGTCCCTTCATCAGTAGTGTTACTGGAAGGAAAATTGCAGCTGCATTGGTGGTGTCAATGGAAGAAAAAAGTTCCTCTGGTGGCAAATAAAATGTTTTTATTCACCCTCACTTTGATCTGCGGTGACATCTGTGATCAGGGCAATCTGAGACAATTAGAGAGAGAAAGAAAGAGTGAATCTCCATAATGGGGACACAGATATAAAAATAGTGTGAAACAGGCAAATACCATATTATGGCCACTAGATGGAGCTGATGTGCTTCGTAAATATGGTAATCAACCCCATCTAGTGGCCATGATGCAGTATTTTCCTGACTCAAAATATCACTATGAATGAGAAACATCTGACCAGGAAATAAAATAGCCAGGTGACATTCAATTTTACTGTCATTTGCATAGAGTGAATGTATATGCAGTTTTGCAAAAAGAATAGCTGTGCATTTTTTTTTTTTTATAAATACACCACATAGAGATGGTGGATCCCCCCAATGGGACACCACAATAAAAACCTGACAGTGAGTCTAATCCCTCAACACTAAATAAATATAGTTTTGCCCTTTAGTTCTCCTTTCAAATCCATGAGGACCTTTTATTACACAGATAGCAGTAAGTTCAGTATGACATCCCACTATGCCTGCCTTCCTCCGGCCCAAAGTGCAGCTGGAGGTGAAAGATCACTTCACACAGTGGTGGAATCATCCTTAGTCACAGGAAGGCCTTTTCCTTAACAGACCAAAGCTTTGTGGAAACTTAAAGGAGATCTATGGTCACAGCACATACAAATTTCATTGTATAAAATCAGCATTGCAATAGCTATACAAACAATAGTTATTACTGAAAATCCAGTGTAAACTTTCTTGTAAAATCTCCTTTTATGCAATATAAAGCATACACTGCAATATAAAGCATTGGATAAAAAAAAAACAACAACAAAAAACATTGATCTAGTGCTTTAAAAAAAAAATGGCCGGAACCAGAACTGACATTGCTCTGGTCCTCCAAGGGCATAGAGATGAGTGGAAGCCATATTTCCTTCACTAATCTCTATGCACAGCGCCAGGATCGTTCGATGTTTCTCAGGTAAGGCTGAGATCTACAAAAAGTGGCGGCCGGTGGTGGCAGCAGCAGGCAGAAGCGGCGGCGATGGCGAGGTTTTTTTTCGGCACCTGTATCAGTGCTTTTTTCCATATCGGCCAACGGCCGAAAGGGGTGTTTTCGCCATGTTTCGACCACCAAAATTTTGGTGCATCCCTATTATATATTGCATCATATTGGCTGAACCAAGCACCTAACATATGCTAAAACCATTATGGATGCAGGACTAGAATTTCCTTTTTGCTGCTATATTCTCTCCCCCCCCCCCCCATGAGTTCCAAAATGAATAAATCACCAGAAATGTGTGACTTGTTAATGATACAGAGTTTAAGTTTACCACTTATGTACAGCAACCATGAAAGCACTAATGGCACTAGTGATTGCATTGAGACATGCATTGCAAAAGTAATCCAATCCTGCCTAATGGACAATTCCGCAAAATGGCATTTATAGAAAAGCTCTGCTAAGCATCATTTACATCTAAACTGACCATATAACATTCACTAAACCTAGGTTTAGAAAACAACCTTTTCTGTGGGAAGCAGTGATTCCTGTACTGACTCCGCCTCCTGAAACTCCTCCTATCAGCCTCTCTGTACTTCAGAAGGTAGACTTTGTGAGATCAAAAGGCCATAGTAAGTATGTGTCACAGAATTCAAGTAAGTACATGTGTGTGGGGAGTAAGTTTACAAACGTCAAGATTGTTCAGATTAATGGGAGTAGGCTACAAAATAATTGAAATACATTGTGGAAATGAACACATGATTTTAACTTTTGACCAAAGATACACTTTAAAATGACACTGAAGAATATCCTTTTTCTTCAGAAATAATCAATTGATTGTAAACATCACATTTTTTTTCTTTAAAATAACAAACATGTCATACTTTCCTGCTCTGTGAAATGATTTTACACATAGCAACCTGAATCCTCCTCTTCTAGGGTCCCCCTGCCATGGGACATATAGGACACACACAGCGTGGCTCATCCCAGCCCTCGCTCCCTCCCTCGCTCCCTCCCCACTGGCTGTGATTGATAGTAGCGGGAGCCAATGGAACCACTGCTATCTAAGAGAGCCTATGAGGAGGAAGAGAGCAGAGAAAGCCACTGCTCTCGTGCACAGCGCTGGATCAAGATTGGCTTCAAATAAGTATAGGGGGGCTGCACACAGGTTTTTACACTAACACAGTGAATGCGTTAAAGTAAAAAAAAAACCTTCAGCCTTTAGAACCATGGTCCTGTAATCTATTTTCATGAAATTGTTTATTACTGTGTTTTTCTGCTTCTGTGTAATGTCCTCATTCAGCTCCCAAAACTCTTTTCTTTCCCCTCACTTCTGATTGTTTGAAATGCATAAATGGAATGTGGAGAGAGCAACAGATTGTACATTTCTGAGTTA